TCTGTGATGTCATTAACTTTCATAAGTGAGCTTTTTTCCATGAGAAATCGACGGCTAAATCCATTGTTTACAAATGTAATTACGCCCCTTTGAAATGTTGGCACTGAAATCAACAATTTTAAACTCCAACCGTCACTCACGAAGTGTCAAACATAACAACAGCAGCAACTGAGAAGTTGTTCACAGCGGGACAGATATGCGTACATTGTTCAACTCGTCAGAGAAATTGGCAGCATAAGTGTCACAGAAGATTTTGTAATGGAAAAATTTCTTTTATGCAAAATTTTGACAAACTTTCTATCGATAGTTGTATTACGTCTGTTCAATCTTTAACTGCAGTTTTCTCATTTTTGTGTTTTGTAACATGGGACAGTTATGCTTCCACCGGCAGTTTACAAATAGAAGTAAAAAAATTAACTTCAATGCTTGACCTATGATTCTTATGTAAAATCGTGCGCTGAATCCAAAAATGTAGTCAGAAAAAATCTCAGTAAGATAGTTTTCTATTTTTTCCTTGATTTGCTTTCCGTCGATCTTGTTTTTCCGTGCTAAGCACCAATGCTACCGACGTGCCAGGAAGGCAGCTCCCACACCTGGACCCTACCTATCGACCCATCAACTCATGAACCGGGGACCAACGGCTTCACTTCCCATCCGAAGGAAGGCGTGATCAGAGATGTTATGCCTCAGAATATCCCGGCGGCGCCGACTGGGATTGAACCCAGGCCTACTGGGGTGAGAGGTAATCACGATTACCACTACACCACCGACGCCGCTGGGATAGTTTTCTAGATACAGCTAAAAGTGAAATTCCACTTTAAAAAGTTGGTTTACTAAAACACAAATATCTCCGGTTGTAATGAAGCAATCCTCTGGCACGGTCGTTGGTTCTTGAAGCTGTCGTCAGTGATAACGGTGGCGTTGATGTTGGAATGATTTTAAGCTTCGGTCATACGTTACCATCATCATGGCTTAGCTATGAGTTTCACCCATCCGAGTATGACCAACCGATTGGACGGTCATTTTTTCTTGAAGCCACCGGGAACTCACTTTCATGCACTTTTTCTTTTAATTTCATAGAACGATAGAAACAAAACTGAAAAAGACCGCGAGAACAATTGAAAACACTATTCACTTGAGAAATTTTCATCAATACCACAACGTTACCATGACCGTTCAAATAAACGCATAAACGGAGCTGAAACTCGTAATTTCTACATCAGCTGTCAATAACTGACGTATAATCGAACCAAAGAGCCAAAAAAAATCGGATTCGAATTGGATGACTCTTGTGCCTGCGGAGTGTAATGAAGCTGTAACTGTCGGAAGAAAAACTTCCTATTTTAGTGTCCTCTTTCACGGTCCCTTTCATCTAATAAATACCCCACGTATGCAAGGTAATTTTGTGGTTTTGCTCGTTGTGCTGTCATTTTTCCACAAATGAGAGTGCAGCACACGTTTGAAACGATCGGTGATGATCCTCTGGAGAAGTTAATGCTTATATCGCAGCCCAGTGGCAGGCGTGTAGGCAATATGTTATACAGTGACAGCGGGCCCAGCACAGCAAAATAAATGATTTGAGCCCGGGACATGCTGCCTACTGTCAAATGCTGCTGTCACTGGCCTGTTATATCGGCATGATATAACCAATTACAAATATTTTTAAATACTTTTCGGTTCGTTTATCGATTATTCGATTATTCGAATGAAAATCGGCCATCACTAGATGAACGTGAAACATTATTTTCAAATATAAGGGTGGTACATAAATAATGATACAATTTGAAAGGGACCGGGGCTAATCACAAATTATGTCCCCACGGTAACTGAAAGAAAACACGAGTGTTCACCGGTTGGTTCAATGGGACGAAAATCTGGACAATTTGGTAGATTGATACTTTTCTCAATAAAATCGACATTATTCTGCATATAACATTCTAAGACATCTGGCTAAGTCAGGCCAGAACTTTAAGGGACCTTCGTGTGATTGAAAGAACGGCAAAATTATGTTCTTGAGACACTCCTCCTTATAAAGTTGTCCATTCATAGTCGCTCCAGTGATGAAAACCTTTGTTTTCTTTCCGCAACTGCAGACACCCTGCAGATGCCTTGCCAAATCATCAACTTGCGAGCGAATTTATCTGCAAAGACAAATTTGAATTTATCCGGAGCATCCCCCTTACGTTTAGCAAAGTAACATTTTTGGCCCGGGATTTGTCCAAAGTCCATTTTTACGTAAGTTTCATCGTCCAGCAAAATGTGAGTGTGCAGAATTTTTCACGTCTGTCACGTTTCATCTTCGATAACTTTTGAACAAGTACATGGATCCTGATGAAATTTTCAGTACTAAATAAACAATCCTCTCGCACCGGAGATGAACCAGCGTCTGGCTGAAAATCTCCTTAATAAAGACCAGGCTTTCTTCCACTCACTTGATATAAAAAATAGTTTTTCGGAATTATAAAATCATTAGATATTATAATGATAGTTAGTAGTTGTAAGTCACAATATAAGGTTGTAAACTAGGTGTTTGACACATAACACATGTCATTATTGCTTTCAGTGCATCACAATCAGCGATTTTACGATTCGTGAGCGCTCACTCATAAATTGGCTGATTGTGACGCACTGAAAGCGAAATTGACAAGTTTTATGTGTCAAATACATACCTTCCAACCTCTTCTTGTTTCTTTTTTTTTTTTTGTTTATTGATTTATTTGATAAGGCTCAACCGAATTAACTTTACAGAGCCGAGAATTCTTGGTCACTATACAATACATCTTAAAACTATAGTCAAAAGGTACAACACAATAAACACTTTATCTTCCGCTATCCAAAAAGCCTCCTCCATCAGAACTGGAGCCGCTTCCAGTGGTTTCATTGTATGGCAAATTGTTGTACGCCAACGAGGGTCAGAGCGCGTCCATTGCAGCAATGGACGCAAAACGTGGTCAGCACTCACACACTCATCACGAAACGGTTGCTTTCCAAAGTCGACGACGCATCGACCGAAAGAACTGCTGATGAAGAACAATGAGGAGGACCACACAATGGTTGCTGCCGAGAAAACAGACGATCGCGTAGCACACATCGAGAGTGGCCTGCTTTTGTCGACAGCCGAGTGAACACTGAGACTCTTCTTGTTTCTGACAAGTATAAACTTTCATAATAGCATGCAATGATTCCATAATTCCGAAAAACATTTTTTATAGCGAAGTGAGTGGAAGTAACCCTAAAGACAACCAACCAACCAACCACCAATCCCTTCGGATCAAAACGCTGTTAATAGTTTCTTGCTACGATAATAGAGATAACTGTCATGGAGCGGCTGTCATCTCTCGTCTTCGCTTTATTTTTGCAAAATGTTGCCGCGCACTTCATTTTTATTCAGTTCCGGTCGAGCGTTCAAATTTTCGCAACAGCATTGCGGCACTGTATGAAAGTCATTTAAAGCCTGGGGGAGGTGACTGTCAAATACGAACAATCGTCGCCTACCTCGCATAGCCTAAGAGGAAGAGGTGACAATATTGGCTTCTTACTCTTTAATTACTATCTATATCTCTATCTTACGCACATCAAATCTGGTTCACGTTTGACAGAAAAGTGGTTCATTTTTGCCCACGTATTGTCACCTCTTCTCTTAGCGCATAGCTGGTTCCAAACGACAACAAAGCAGCAAGCAACGATGGTTTATTTATGTTTGGAACCAAATTCACACGCTATTTCAAAACTACCTAGCTTTGATATGATCAAATATATCTTTGCTATCGAATTCGTTCGAAGCATTAACCTTTGAGCGGCAGATGACGCGATTGTACTAAAGCCCTACAGTAAAAGTATGGACGTCTGTCAAAAGTTGTTCCAATCTTTAACGGTTCGATTGCACCGCTTTGCTCGATTGGAACAGCTTTTTTCATGAAGAGCTTTGAGTGGGTCGGTTTATTTCCTAAAACGCTGTCCAGACTGGAGAGTTATAACATGTTATAACGGTTGTCAAATAATTGCAACACAGAAACCACCATCAAGATAGCGCTATAACATGTTATAACTCTGTAGTCTGAACAAGGCATAAAAGGAAATCAAGGCATTATAGTACGTTCAAACGCTGTCCAGACTGGAGAGTTATAACATGTTATAACGGTTGTCAAATAATTGCAACACAGAAAACACCATCAAGATAGCGCTATAACATGTTATAACTCGTAGTCTGAACGTACTATGATAGTACGTTCAGACTACGAGTTATAACATGTTATAGCGCTATCTTGATGGTGTTTTCTGTGTTGCAATTATTTGACAACCGTTATAACATGTTTAAACTCTCCAGTCTGGACAGCGTTTTAGGATATATATATTGCGCGTTTCACACCAAATTGGACTAATGAGCGCGTTTTCACTTATTAAAAAGTGTGATAAAACTGCAAGTTTACGTCTAATCGTCTTGGTGTCTTCGGTGCACTTATTCCTTATGATGCAAGCATCATCAAATCGATTTGACGGAAACGTGCACTTTTATCACACTTTTTGCATTTTCGGGACAGTCCAGTTTCAGATGCAATCAGCAATACATTACCCGTGACATTCAACAGGCATAACTCTAAAATATCTACATCTAGGCGTTAGGGCTGTAGTCAACTGTGGCCCAGTTTTTTTTTTTATGTTCATCGCGCAGCATGACAATTTTGACGTTCACCTATCAGCTCGATAAGCTGGGAGCATAGCTATGTTGTTTGTTATTGATGAGAGCGAGCTAGTAGTGCGCAAGACCGTGGAATTCGAAGACGGGAAAAGTGTACGGTTTGAGTTTCGTGTTTGTTTTCCCAATTTCCCTGTGTGCTGGTGGTGGCTGGTCGTATATCAGGCAAACCCGACGAAGAGGAGAATACCTACCCACAAGAGAGGAGCAATTTTCCCGGTGGCGGTGGTGAACGACGGCAAAGCATTATTTCATCGGGGTAAGTTGGTGTTGGTGCAGCATTATCATACCAGGAATCATATTCCTTGTGTCGTCCGACGTCGGTTGTGTGGAGAACAAGACCAGGATGCGAAAAATTATCGCACACTTTTAATTGTCCTTTGAACCTTTTTTGAGTCAGAACACGGAAGACACGGGACATTTATTTCGAGATCTATTTTCGCGTCCGTACCCAAGTTTCCAGTTTATACTTCCGGAGTGCCGTTGTCAGAGTCAGGTTTAGATTAGTTTTCCAGTGTGCTACTCTTAGGTTTCAATTTGGTGTTGTCGATTTGATTATCCAGGATTCTATTCCGTATTAGAAGGCAGCAGTGGAAGAAGCGAAAAACGTAATCCAAGTTTTCCATCTTGCGTGAACGGAGAACCGAAACACCTATCAATTGCATATGAGTGCTACGTGAACTGTGTGAAGAATGACGTCGCAGCAGTTTGGCTGTTGGATGAGGTGAAAACGTTTGAAAAAATGGAGAAAATGGTTGCGGAAATCGACCGCATCGTGTAAAGTAGTGGATGCCTTCTGAGAGAAAAAAAAAATTGGATTACAGTTGCCAATAAATGATGATGGAAGATCCATTTTTCGTGGTGAAGGAGTAAGTTTATTGGATGAGATTTCTTATTTGGAAAATGCCTAGTTCGATTCGTACTGGCAATATGGTACGGCGTGAGAAGCACATAAAAATATACTAGTCATGCAAGTAACCATGGCATATCCCCAAGGGGCTACCTGGAAGCTATCAGAATAAAGTCAGCACACATTACATATATATATAGTTCCATTCTCTTGTGCATGGTCACGATGGGGGGTGGGTAGGAGGACTGGTTTTCCGTATGCTGCACGACTCGCGTGAGTGAGCGATGTTGTACGGTACGGTTCGCGAAGGTTCAGCGATGCCACAAATACCGATTTTTGTACACGAAAAAAGTTGGGACCCCCTTGTTTATTTTGATACCGTAAGGTACTGTAACAAGTTTCTTAGCCCAAAAAAATGGTTAATTTTTGGAACTATTTTTTGATCTAACAAACTTGTTCCAGTACCTGCGGCATCAATTTTTTTTTCTTGTGAGAAAATCGGTATTTGTGGCATCGCTGATATGGATTGCTAATAGAAGAAACTACATATCTATCCTATGTTCATGCAGCACCGTACTCAGCAGGTGGCAATGGAGCCATTTTCCAGTAAACAAAATTCCTAGGGGCTGAAAAAATGCTCCAATGTTTTCTGAATTGTCCCTTTTTAATAATTATTGAACATTTCCTCAACTTTTACGAAGCTCCATCAACTGCATGTCGTATTCTGCCACTAATGGCACGCTGGTCCCATAGCCCAAATCAGCAAGCGAAGAAAAACGCGTTTTAAGTTTGCGTTGTACCATTGCTTCTTAAGTGATGGGACAACCAGTTTGGCTGTTTTCCCAAACTTTCTCAAAACAAAGTTGCTGTGTTCATCCAGCAGTATGAAAATATAGGTGATTAGTTTCCATTTCCAATAATAAACTAAGTTTTGCTAAAAACGCTAATGGGACCGACTTACGATGAGCGGCATTATTCGGTTTAGATACAGTTGTCATGGTTGCCTTCATCGCAAGGAATCGATTCTAATTGAAAGGTCCCGCTATTTATACCCTTCGGAGTGTTGAAACACCCTCAAAAAACGCGCCCCTTTGTCAGTTAGAATTGAATTCCTTAGCAACAAAATTAAGCAATGACACCGATCATCAGAACTCTAATCTTACCCACTTCGAACAAGAGAACAACGAATACAATATTCGGAACCATATAAATTTTTGATTTTCCAAGACAGAAGGTCAAATCTCATCTCTCAAGGCCACATTCCATAACGTGAGTGGAACATGGTGATCACATCAAACTATAATGTCTCAAATGAACCACATGCCCCAAACAACCCCTAGAACGGCTCCCATACACTCTCCATGCTGAATCGTGAGCCCCTCCTTTTCTCACATCATTGCATGCAAAATAATAACCCAAAGCAGGTCAATGGAATATGCCTAAATGAATTAGTTGCAATGATAGTATGAATAGTGATGACAGTATAATATACTAATTGAATAAGATGATTGCGGGTTCGGCCTACACGGCCTGAGCGTCTGTTCACCATGGAGGTGCGGCTCAAACAGCGTCTGACTGGCATCCAGCGGCTGAATAAGAAATGCTGTATTGTGTCAGCTAAATCTAAGATGGCAGCCCCATCTACACAATAACTGAGCGTCTGTCCACCATGGAGGTGCGGCTCAAACAGCGTCTGCCTGGCATCCAGCGGCTGAAACAAGAAATGCTTATCCCCGAAAGCTATACCCAAGATGGCAGCCCCATCACGGCGGATAGGAGACCTTAGGCTAACTACCTACTGTCCCCGAAACTTTACAACTGTTACAGAAACCAATAGAGAAAGATCACGGACTGATATTACGGCAACGACTTTTAGCGCAAAACAACGGACAAGAATTGGAACATGGAATGTACTAACGCTAGCCCAACAGGGGAAGCTGGCACAACTCGCCAGCGAGGCTCGACGCATGAAGCTCGAAATCCTGGGACTAAGCGAAGTCCGTTGGCCAAACTTTGGAGAACACAAGCTGCCGTCGGGACAGGTACTACTCTATTCTGGTATTCGAGGTGAAAACGCTCCCCGCCACCGTGGAGTTGGTTTCCTGCTTAGCGCCCAAGCAAATGCGGCGCTCATCAAGTGGGAACCTATCAATGAGAGGATAATCGTTGCCAGATTCAGAACGCGGGTTCGTAACCTAACCATAATCCAATGTTATGCGCCAACCGATGCTGCCGAGTTACAGGACAAAGAGAACTTTTACAGTCAACTGAATGCAGTCGTGGATAAAATTCCGAGAGGTGACATCAAGATCTACATCGGCGACTTCAATGCGAAGATCGGCTCCGACAACACGGATTATGAGCGTGTCATGGGGCGCCATGGTCTTGGCGAAATGAGCGAAAACGGTGAGCTGTTGGCAGAGTTTTGTGGCAATAACGACATGGTGATCGGGGGTTCGCTCTTCCCCCATCGACCAGTGCACAAAGTCACGTGGGTTTCCCGTGATGGACATACCGAAAATCAAATCGACCACATCTGCATCAGCCGAAAATGGAGAAGGAGCCTTCTTGACGTTCGGAACAAACGCAGTGCCGACATCGCGTCTGACCACCATCTCCTCGTTGGAGAGATCCGCCTTCGTATAGCGCGGGTCCAGCGGCGGGAGGAGCGGCTCGGACGGCGATTCAACACACGCCGATTGGAAGATCCAGCAGTAAAAAGGTCATTCGTCGAGGAACTGGAGACCAGAGCTGCGGATATTCCTGATGGTGGCAGCGTAGAAGAGCAATGGACGGCGATCAAGGATGCCTTTACTGAAACGAGTGAAAACAACCTGGGCGAGCTGCGCGCTCAGAGAAAGGAGTGGATCACAGATGACACCTGGAGGAAGATAGAGGAGCGGAGAAATGCAAAAGCCGCGATAGAGCGGGCGAGAACCAGAGGAGCGAAGAACCAGGCCCGCCAACTGTATTCGGCTCTCGAGAAGGAAGTGAAGCGCTCGTGTAGGCGGGATAAGCGAGCGTGGGTGGACTCCCTAGCCGATGAAGGTGAGAAAGCCGCAGCAACAGGCGATATCCGTCTCCTCTACGATATCTCACGACGCCTGAGTGGAGCAAGGATGAATCCTAGGATGCCAGTGAAGGACGCGACTGGTCAGTTGCTCACCGACCCCACTGATCAGCTGAAACGCTGGTTTGAACACTTCGAACAGCTTCTACAAGTTTCGTCGGTCAACCAGCCATCAACATCTCGGCATGAACCGCCAAGAGTGCGACGCATCACTCGCGTCAATTCTGAGGCGCCATCCCTACCGGAGATCGAAGCTGCTATCCGAACCATGAAATCCAACAAGGCTCCCGGGGTCGATCGCATATCAGCAGAGATGCTCAAAGCTGACCCCATGCTATCTGCACAAATGTTGCATCAACTATTCTGCAATATCTGGGACACCGCGACTTTTCCGGCTGACTGGATGCAGGGCGTCTTAGTGAAGGTCCCAAAGAAGGGGGACCCAACTGTATGCGATAACTGGCGTGGCATTATGTTACTGTGTTGTGTTCTCAAAGTTCTATGCAAAGTTATCCTCAACCGGATACAGGAGAAGATCGACGCGACTCTCCGACGGCAGCAGGCGGGATTCCGTGCTGGAAGATCCTGTGTGGACCATATTGTCTCGCTCCGCATAATCTTGGAGCAGGTCAACGAATTCCAAGAGTCCCTTTACTTGGTTTTCATTGACTACGAAAAAGCTTTCGACCGACTCAACCACGAAAACCTGTGGGGCGCCCTAAGGCGCAAGGGAGTTCCGGATAAAATCGTCAACCTCATCGAAGCTCAGTATGAGGCTTTCACGTGCAGGGTGCTGCACAACGGAGCCCTATCTGACCCTATTCGGGTAGTCGCTGGAGTGAGGCAAGGATGTATTCTATCACCGCTACTGTTCCTCATCGTAATCGATGAGATAATGGTTGGTGCGATCGACCGTGTGCCGAACCGTGGGTTGCTCTGGCAGCCTATTACAATGGAGCATCTAAACGACCTAGATTTGGCGGATGACGTTGCTTTAGTATCACAACGGCGTTCTGACATGCAGAGTAAGCTCGACGATCTCGCCGAACGCTCCTCAGCGGCAGGTCTCAACATCAACGTCAGCAAGACTAAATCGTTGGATATCAACACGGGAAATCCATCCAATTTTACGGTAGCTGGTCAGGAAGTGGAGAAGGTTGAAAGTTTCCAATATCTTGGCAGCCAGATAGCGTCGGACGGCGGAACCAAGAGTGACATAGGTGCACGGATCAAGAAGGCAAGGGCTGCTTTTGCGAGTTTACGAAACATCTGGAAGTCAAATCAGATTAGTCTCCGCACGAAGATCCGAATTTTCAACTCTAACGTGAAATCTGTACTGCTGTACGCTAGCGAAACATGGTGCGTATCAGCGGAGATCACACAGAAGCTGCAGGTGTTCATCAACCGATGCCTGCGGTATATAATTCGTGCTTGGTGGCCTCACAACTGGATTTCGAATGCCGAGCTCCATCGACGGTGTCACCAGAAGCCGATATCGACAGAAATTCGGGAACGTAAGTGGAGGTTGGTTGGCCACACTCTACGGAAGAGCGGAAATGAAATCTGCAAACAAGCGCTGGATTGGAATCCAGCCGGACATCGCAGCAGAGGCAGACCCAGGGGCTCATGGCGGCGAAGCCTAAACAAGGAGATTAAGCAAGTCGACCGGAATTTGACCTGGGCCCAGGTCAAGGCGAAAGCAAACAATCGCCCAGGATGGAGATCTTTCACGTTGGCCCTTTGCGCCAGGGATGGCGCTCAGGACACTTAAGTAAGTAAGTAATAAAATGATTATTTACCTGTTAATAATGATCGAAATTGGTGAAAAGTAAGGGAATTTTTAGTAGATTTTACAATCACAGAGTTTGGCAATAACGTGATGGTATATTATTATGATGCTGATTAGACGAATCCTGGGGAAGCATCAGTAGTTAGAGAAACCTCTGAAA